GGCATATGGCATACTTTCAGGATTCTTACAGTAGAGTTGGTTCAACCAATTCAATTTCGCTGAGAACTGCTGGTGGTTCTCCATTTTTTAAGAGAGGAAGAAGACCAAAACTCAAATATAAATGCTTTTCAGTAGCAGTACAGCTCCCCTGAAACACATGCAAACTTCAAATTTGACTGCCTTCTGGAAGAAGCTAAAAATGAACTAGAGGGCAATCTGGGATATGATTCTATCTGGAGTGGTATATTAATGGTTGCTGAACTATTATACCATGTTGCAGGTTTTATGATGTTTTATGTTTTTATGTAAATTAGCTATTGTTGATGGGGCCTAAGAATCCTCTAAGACCACAGCAAGAGATTGTGTGTCTGCCTGTTTTGTCTTCAGCCCTCATCCTAAGTACAAATTTCTGCTCAGTTGTAAACATTTGATCTGAGGATAAATTAGCCTTTTGTCAAAACTGGAAATTCTCAATAAAATTACATGTATATTCTTTTGTAGAGGACATTGTTGCTTGTTTCAGTGGTTTCAAATATGAGTTTCTCAGATAACCTGTTTCCATGGTCAAATGAGTTGGATATCCAGGACTGAGGTTTTGAAGAGCCTTCACATTTAGAAGCCCCAGTCCTTGTCCCTTCAAGAGAGCTTTTTTACATTACCGTGGCAGATCTTTACAACAGGTTTCTCTGAGGTGTTAACTGTTCCCTTCAAGTCTAGGATAACTCGCCACAGCCAACTTGCCATGGGACAACTCGCCACAGGACAGAAGTTACACTAATATTGAAAAAAAATAGTGGGATAGAATTATTAAAGGATGCAAAAGAAGGAACAAAATGAAATGTGAATGACAAAAATTAAAACAATGTTTTAATTATTTTAAACAATTAAATCAAAATGTTGAATTGTCCTGCAATGAGTTGGCCTGTGATGAGTTATCCCATTCCAAACCTAAATTTGCATAAATCAAGTCTATTTGCCTGCTGAATTCTAACTTGTTTCTGTAATGTGTAAACAAGTATTCCCCTTTGCTACCTACTTTTTCCTTATCTCTATCCAGTTTTGTTTTCCAACCTGAGGTTTTTAGTTTTGGGAAGGATTTGATTTGTTCTTGCTGGAAGGGAGATAAAAAAACCAGTGCTTATATATTTTTCTGCAACATACATAGAAGTTGACAGAGTGAGGGCAGATGAAGAATCAATATATACAAAAGGGTTTCCTTATTTTATAAGTTTTAATCAGGAGCTCTTAATTCACTTAATATTAATAAATATTAACATTGAACTTATGTTTATTCGTTTATTAGCTGCCTAAAGGCACCCCAAAGAGTGAGATAGGTGGTGTATAATATAATAAATAAATAATATTTGGGAAAAAAGCATCTCCAGGATGATTTCAGCTGGAGCTGGCAACTCTGTTGATAGGAAAGGGAAGTTGGGCATTATACAGCATTTTTTATTTTTTAATTTATTTTTTTGTTGAGCTTATTTAATAGTCAGGTCTTTTCCTCAGGGAAATAAGGTTATGCTTTCTGCAGAATGCAGTCTCTGTCTATAATGGCTCTTTCATATAGTCAGCAAATAAATGTCAACTCTAAAGTATTTTTCTAGAAAGCTTCTGACTTTCAGGTTGTTTTTAAATTGTCTGGGTGATTTCCATTACTTTTTTCATCATCTATTTAATGGATAGTTATGTTTTCTTTCTCAAAAGGTGTTCTTTGATTAATTTGAAATGTACACACCTAGAGAGTGCTTGGCCTCTTTCCTGTGCTGTAATTGAAAATCTTTTATACCTTCTAATTGACAGAATTTCATTTAAGTGAACTAGTGATTTTTCTTGCCTCCTGGCTTAATCAAAGAGAAGTTGACACTGCTACTTATTTGTAAAGAGCATTGCTTTTAATTTCATCTTCTTATCCATTTTCTGAACTTGAAAGATACAATATTATAAGATTCAGGTGGGGTCAGTTCTGTTCCTTCTGAAGCACAACAAATTGTATGTGGTAAAAGCTCCATAATTTGATAAACCCATTCCCATTTTCTGTTTCTAATATTTTCCCTTCAGTTGCAGAGGCACAATATGCATTCAGGGCTTTAAAATACAGGTAGTCCTTACAATCATAATTGAGCCCAAAATTTTTGTTGCTAAGTGAGACATTTGTTAATTGAATTTTGCCCCATTTTACGACCTTTCTTGCTGTAATTGTTAAGTGAATCCCTGCAGTTGTTAAATTATTAACACAGGTGTTAAATGAATCTGGCTTTCCCATTGACTTTGCTTGTCAGAAGGTCGCAGAAGTTGATCACATGATCCCAGGACACTGCAACAGTCATAAATGTGAATCAGTTTCCAAGTGTCTTAATTTTGATCATGTGATCATGGGGATGCTGCAGTGGTCGTAAGTAAAAAACTGTCATAAGTCATTTTTTTAATGCCATTGTAACTTCAAACAACTGTTGTAAGTCGAGGACTACCTGTAATCAGAATAATGTGGGAAAACATAAAAATCTACAGTTGAATACCAGTTCTATTTAAACCTGCTTCATCTATCTGCTGATGTTGCTTATTTTGTGGCCTGCTAGTTCTGGAGAAAAAGAATTATAACACATTGTGCGAATTCTGCTCAACAGTTTCCCTCCTTATCTTTGTCTTCTAGTTTTACTGGATTGCTTTATTAATTTTAATGGATATATAAAAGATGTGGAGTTCGTTTGCAAACTATTTGTAAGTGAAATATGATTGGCTGAAATACTTTCTACCTTTGTAGAATCAGTGCAGATTTGAATGGACTTGCTTATTTTACTTTGCCTATCCTTATTTCAAAAATCAAGGGCTGTGGAAAAGGAACAAAATGTTATGTAAAACAGAAAAAAATCATAGCATTTTAGAAACTAGAAAAAATGAACAGGATACTGTGGTCCAAACAACTATTTCTCCAGCTTCTACTCTTTTCTCTTCAAGGTTTCCTGTTTAGTCCATCAAGAACAGAATCTTGAGTTTCTTTTTACTGACCTGCAGAAGCTTAAAATGTGTAATTTACCGTTGTCAGGAACATTTGCAATATGGTTCTATTAATGTTTACATGCAGTGTAAGCATGCCAGTTCAAAGTCTGTGTGCATCACAGAATTAATTTAATGCAAAATGTACAAAGGTCTTCTGCAGCTGAGCTCAGAAAGCAATAATTGACTTGTAGCTGCACAGCTGCAAATTAGGCAGGATATAGCAATTCAGAAGGGTCCAGATCCCTAGGGAATATGGTATTTTCTAAGATATTTACTCAATAGTTTGAACCCTACATAACTTGAGCCAGAGATAGCCATCTTTGGCCAAAAGTTGCATCTTGCTCTGCTTAAAATTCCAAACCCTCCACACAAAAAATAGGAACAGAAAAAATGGGTGGGATTGAAAGTAAAGATATGTATATAATTCTGCCTCTAGCCATTGCTAGTCAAATACTTGTCAGAGGTCTAAAGGAGGTATAGAAACACTTTAGCAGATAAACAGCACATTTTCTTAGCTATATTAGTAACCTTTAACTACCCCCCCATCCTACCCCCACTTTTTTCTTAAAATTGAAAGTAGCCTATTCTGAAATTACTTTACATATTTTTAAAACAGTCTCAATATATTTGATCAAGTAATACAGGTAAGCCTTCTCCGCTTCCCTTCCCAGGCCTTCAATAACATATATATGTGCTCCATAATGCCATATGTGGCACCCACATGCCTTAGATTTTTTCCATAGCAACTCTGTGGTATACGTTGGGCTGAGAGAGTACAATTGGCCCAAAGATATCCAATGATTTTTCATTATTATTCAAAAAATTTATTATGGTCATCCATTCCAAATGACTCTGGGCAGCTCATAACATCCAAATATAGAATTAAAATTGTTAAAAACATGACAGTAAAAAAAACAACTAGCTGAGATCTTGCTTTTTGGTAGTTGCCTCAAATCGAAAGAAATTATGCCCAAGTAAGAATCTGTTTTCTTTAATAAAATGCATTGAGAGATGAAAGGAATAAGGTTACAAGAATTCCAGCAATTGTTGCAACTATTCTCAAATATTTGTACTAATTCCAATTTAGTACTAATACTAAAGCAACTGTTTTTAGGTTTTTTTCCGCCTTCCGATGCAGCACAGAGATGGATCTTTTCATTGGTAACAGAGAAGTCTGCAGCTGGCTGTTCACAAAATGGTCTTCTAGACTAACCACTGGAGGATGAATTTAAACCAGTTTTCCCCCCCAACCTCACCAAAGACTACTGTATTTTGAATGGTTATATTATATTTAACCATACTTTTAAAGATTTCATAAATGTTGCTTCTCTAATCTCTTTCAAGGAAGGAAGGTGGCTAATATTGTCAGTTACAGAGTAGATCCAGAAAGCATTTGCTTTTTGTCCATCCTATCCTAGGTCACATTTGCTACTGTGCATGCAGACAATTGAATGAAGAAATCGAACAGTAGAAAATGAGAAAGGTGCAGGAAACAGATATAGCCTGCTGATATAAATGAAGATTAGAGGTTGTTTAGATCTTCAGGAAAGTGTTGCAACTGTAGTCCAAGGGAGAACAAGGTACCTGAGGCCAGCTGTGGAGGACAACAGTTTGCCCTGGAAAGAGACAGAAAGAGCTCATTCATTCTGTAAGTTTCAGGAAACCAAATAGCAGCAAACTAGAAGCAGGAATGGAAATTCCCACAAAGACCTTCTCCTGCCTGCAAGAGTTTGTGTTTTTCTTTCCTCAGCAAGCCAGGCACAAAAAAGAATAGAACTGTCTGAAGTCATCTGGCTGAGCTGAGTGGAAATTCAGTGTGAAGTCAGTCAAGCTGTGCTGCTTGCCCTAAAAAAATTCAAAGAAGAAATGGAAAATGCTGTATGAAAGAGGGAATCTTTCAAACTTCATAGCCCTTTGGATTTCCTGAAGCATGACACAAGGTCCTGTCTCAATCCAGAGAAAGATAAAGCAGCAGACATTCATGTATGCCTGTTGTTTGGACCCTGCTATTTGGCAGACTCATGGAGGCAGACAATGCAATTCCTAAGTCATAACTTTGCTTGCTGCCTTGCCTTGCTGCAGGACAAATTTGCTCAGCATTCCTTCTGAAAGAACTGTAAGGTATGGCAAAACATATACCCTTCTAACATGGATGTACCTCGATAAAAATGTTGCCTTTCTATGAGTTAATGTCATACTGTATGTCGATTCTGATGAGCCAATCAAAACAATATTCGTAGAGTGGTGGTTGGTTGTTAAGATATTTTGTTAATTGTTGCATCAATCCTATGTGTTTTGATTGCTGTAGCCATCATGAATCCTTCAAGGAGCAGTTGCATTTAATCATTGTAATGAATGTACATTGCTAGCCCAAAGAACTAACTTTGGAGAAGGAGAGAGCTTTTTTGATTTCTAAAACATGCTACAGCTATCAGACATTCTAGTATCTATATTTGCCATTCCTTGGAAAACTCGAGTGGAAGAGCAAACTGAAATAAGTGGTTTATGATTTATCCCGTGACTCACCACTATTTTCTCTAGCCCCAGGATGTCTGTGCTGCAGCACAACGTATCTCCACAGGCATGAAGAAGAGGGTCATATTCCTTTGCTGACCTTTGAAACCAGCCCCCTTTCAAGTTTCTCCCTCCTTCTAGTCTGTCTTTCATTCTAGTTAGTTATAATTCCAGAGAGTGGTTTGGAATCGGAACACCACTGCTAGCCTCCTCTGTTCCTGCTGCTGCAAAGATGAATCAGAAAGTTCTTTTCCTCATGCTCTTTCTAGCCTTTCTAGCAATTTTTGCTTTAGTATGTATCTTGTTGACCAGAGACGGAAAGTATGAGAGCTGTGCTTCCCAATCTCAAGCTTTAACTGAGCACCTAAATGACAAATGGAGTTGTCTCTTTGCTGATTTATCACAAGAGGAATTAGTCCATGTAGTACAGTATTTGAAATCCAACCTTGGAGCCACCTTGGAAGATGCTTCTCGTGCAAAGCCTTCTGATAACTGCATTTACTCTGTTGATTTGGAGTTGCCCTCTAAAGCAGACACATTATCATTTCTGGATCATGGAGGAAGATGCCCACCTAGGCTGGCTTTGGTTGTAGTGTATTTTGGAAATCAGCCAGATCCAAATGTTACTGAATATGTGGTGGGTCCCCTCCCACAGCCATTGTATCACCGGGATGTGACAGTGCAAAAGTATGGAGGACACGTGCCATATTATCGCAGACCTCCACTGATTGCTGAATACCAGCAGATGGCCCGCTTTCTGCAGACTACAGTGTTTCCCACAGCCCCAAGCTTCATGCATGAAGTATTGAACTACGATGGAGCCAACCTAGCAGCAATGACTACATCGCCAAAGGGAATGAAATCTGGGGATCGTGAAACGTGGTTGATCCTGTACCAGAATGTAACTGGTTACTTTTTACATCCTGTTGGGCTTGAAGTGCTTATAGACCACAGAAGCCTGGATATTACCCATTGGGCTGTCAAGAAAGTGTTTTTTGGTGGCCAATACTATAGGGACATGGCACAATTGGAAAGAGAATTCACAGAGGGGCATATGCATGTGGAAAAGGTGAACAGAGTTCCAGCTGATGGGGGATTCTCCTCAATGAAACCCAGGGTGCGTCATGCCAAACTCAGTTCCCTGAATTATGAACCTTTTGGACCACATTACAGTGTGAAAAACAACCAAATCCACTCTGCATCCTGGAGTTTTGCCTACCGAATGGATTTACATAGAGGACCACAACTTTTTGACATTAGGTTCAAAAATGAAAGGGTTGCGTATGAGCTCAGTGTGCAAGATGCTATGTCAGTCTATGGCTCAAACAATCCTGGTGGGATGTCTATTAGATACATGGATGGGAGTTTTGGAATTGGAAAGTTCTCATCTCCTCTTATGCGAGGGCTTGACTGCCCTTATTCTGCTACTTATCTTAATGTTACCTTCTTAGCAGAAGTAGAAAGACCTCTCATTACTCGTGATGCTATTTGTGTTTTTGAACTGGATATGGGAGTTCCATTTCGGCGTCACTTTTCCAAACTCCACTCTCTGTATTATGGAGGGCTACAAAGCACCACATTGGTCTTTCGCTCTGTGTCCACCATTGGCAATTACGACTATATCTGGGACTTTTTATTTTATCCAAATGGAGCAATTGAAAACAAAGTCCGTGCCACTGGTTATATAAGTTCATCTTATCTCCATAATGATGGTCTAGAATATGGAAACAGAGTTGGAGACTACACTCTGGGAACAATTCATACACACTTTGTTGGCTTCAAGCTGGATCTAGATGTCGCCGGTAAGTATGCAGATTTTCTGTTTCCATCAAATAAATCTTGAATCCTGTCTACTTCTATTGTGTGCATTTAGATAAGTCTTTATCTCTGACAGACATTTGAATGGATTGCAGAATATCCTTTGTGCTATTTAAGCATACTGGATGAAGACAGAGACTGTGATTTCAAGAGTATCAGCCTCTCTTCTTTTATGTTTATACTCTCCCTGTAGCTATGAATAATTCACTGTCCTTTTCAGATTTCTACATTAGCAAATCTTATAAGTTCAGGCTTTGTACTGTTTGTAAATGCAGAGTAAGAAGCAAAGTTCTGCTGAGTATTAGTGCTAACCTATCCCAGAATACTCATGTTAGCATACCTTGACCCTCTGCTTTCAGAAATGATCTCTTGCTGATATATAATCCTTTTATGAGATCCCAATGATCTATTATTTGCATTTTGGTTTTCAGGTCATAATGCCTTTGTCCTCTGAAGCTGGCCTTCTTTTGAGGGTTTTTTTTTAATAAGCAGAAGATACAAACATGTTAGTTTTATTGTATATGTAACCCCAGCTGGCAAACCTCAAGTAAATTTTTTCTTGATCCTTCTGAGCAAAAAGGCAGCATGTCCTTTCAGTCTGATGACCCAAATTACCATTCTCCATTAGGCCATTTTAATTTCATTTTTGGCAAGATGTTGTGAAAGAAAGACAGGATGGTGTCTCATCTGTATGCTTCTCTCCCTCTCCTCCTATTATAGCAGTTCAGTGAAAAGCAACCTTGTTTTTCAGAAAGTTGCCTTGTATTTTTATTTACTTGCAAGTCATTTTGAAAGATTTTTTTATCCCAAAAGGCAGTTTATAACTAATTGTAATATATAAAGAAACAGAGAATGGAAAAACAGCTAAATCAATGTTTTCACTTAAGTTGTTTCTCTCTCTAGGAGCTTCCAGCCAGAAAGTTTACAGGCACAGGAAACTGTTATTTACTTATTTAGTTTTGGGAGGAATCATCATCACAGCAGTTTTAGAAATACTAAAGTTACAAAATATTCTTTTATCAGCTTGTATTCTTCTGTGCATAGAGGCCGGATCCAGGCTGTGGTGGATGGCAGTGGTGTTCTCCTTCCCCATCATAGTGAGACTAATAGCCAGAAGAAGAAAAAACTCACCGCTTTTGCCCGCTCTCCCTCCTTCCCTCCCTCCCTCCCTTCCTTCCTTCATTCATTCCTAGAGGGCTGCCCAAATTCATCAGCATACTATTTTAAATAAAATAGAAATATATAAAATTTAAAAACCTTGCCGTCCATTCTAACCAAGACCTGGAGGAAAAGACAGGTTTTCACAACTTTTTAAAAGCTTTTGAGGATGGAAATATATAGATCAGTGGGAGGAGGATGTTCTAGAAGGCAGGTGCTCTTCCAGAAAAGGCCTATTTTTTTGGATCCATGAGGTGATGTTTAATTGATAGAACCAGCCCACTCTATTTGATAATATAGGAAGACAGAAACCATTGGAGATAGGCAGCCCTTCAGACAAGCAAAACCTATGCCATGAAGATAATGACCATCACCTTGAATTACATCCAGAAGCTGTCTTGTAGCCAATGCCATTCATGGAGTAGCAATTTTATATGGGGGTACTGAGAAATGCCCACCTCTGCTTCCACTGTCGTATTCCGAACTAGTTGCCACTTCTGAGTGGTCTTCAAGGGCTGTCCCATCTAGATGACACTGCTATAGTCCACATGCAAGGTGACTAGGATGGGATTGATTGTTTGCAGGGGGCCCTGGTTCAGTAGCAGGTGCATATCAGATGAATGTGTTCCTGATTACAGTTGCTGAATATTCTTCAGGCAGGAACTGTGAACCCAGAAAATGTCCTCAAATTGCATGGTATTTCTGAATGTGGGAGGGCTATACCATCTAGGATTTAATATGGAAAAATTCCAGGGCTGGGTAGTCTACCTGCTCAGAGGCACTTAGTCTTGTTGGGATTGAGCCTGTCATTTCCTATTAGATCCCTAGACACTACAACAAGATTTAATAGCATTTCTTGGACAGCCCAGATGTATACCAGTCCAAATATACAACTGGACATCATTAGTATACTAATGGTTCCTGGCCCCAAACCAATAGATAAACTCATTTAAACAGAAATAGCAAGAATATCAAACCCAGAGACATCAACTGAAACAGAGCAAAGAGGAAAACTGCTTTAGAATAGTGCCTTCATCCTTAATCTCAGTAGATAAAACCAGAAAGTCCATGGTATGACTGGTGGACTGAGAGCCACTGAAAGACCAAGGAGAACCAAAATAGCAGACCTCCCAACTCAGAAGTGATCAATGCTGACGCCAAGCTATGCTCTAGTTTAAAAGTCAATTGCAAAGAATCCAGATAATCTCTTTATTCTGAACCGTCTGAAGTTGCAGCTGGGCCACTTTCTAAAAAACTTCCCTAAAAGGAGAAGGTTGGAGACTGGACAGATAATTGGAATATTGGGGCCACAGTGGTTTTGAGGAGGGGACATATAATACATTCTTACTATTGCACTGGGAATCTTACATTCTCCACTTCCCCTCTTCCCTCATTAATTTGAAGTTGCCTCCTGTTTCCTCAATACCATTTTTGTTCAAAGCCCAGGCAGGAGATAGTTTAAACTTTTTTCACTTTGATGTTCTAACAAAAAATGTACTCAGACAACTTTTTAAAAAATGTTGACTCATTATAAACAATCTCATTATTCCAACCTTTTTTCACATATTTATCTGCTGCAATTCCATGCAGGATTAATCTGACTCTAGTGGGTGGTGCTCATCTCTGTTTCTTAGCTGAGGGAGCCAATGTTGTCCAAAAACATTTCCATGGTCACATGGTACCATCTTTGTGGTAGTCCCTCAAATACTGGAATACTGCTTTCATGCTTCCCTTAGTCCTTCTTTTCATTAGAGTAGACATATCCAATTCCGTTCTTCATGTTTTAGCCTCCAGCCCCCTAACCATCCTTGTTGCTCTTCTCTGCACTTTGTACCTTTTTTATATTGTAGTGATCAGAACAGGACACAGTGTGCCAATTCTGGTCTTACTGAAGCTTTGTAAAGCATCCTAATACTTCATGTGATCTTGATTCTATCCTCCTTTTAATGCAGCCTAGGATTGCACTGGCTTTCTTGGCTGCCGCCGCACACTGCTGGCTCATATCTAAGTGATTGTTCACTAGGACTCCAAGGACTTAACAGTTACTGATATTGAGCCACATTTCGCCTGGTCTATACCTGTACAATTAGTTTTTCTTGCCTAAATGTATAACCTTACTTTTATTCACAATGAATTTCATTTTGTTAGATAGGGCCCAGTATTCAGTTCTATTAAGTTCCATTGGGATCATGAGCCTATCTTCTGGGGTGTTGATTCGTGTTATCTGCTGATTTGATGAGTTTCCCTTCTATTCCCTGTCTAAATTGTATATGAAAATGTAGAAGAGAACTGGACCTAAAACAGAACCTTGGGATACCCCACTGTAGATATAGTTCCATTAAGGACTACACATTAAGTCCGGTTTTCAGCCAGTTACAAATCCATCTGGTGGTGGTGCTGTCTATCTCACATTTTTCTAGCTTAACAAGAAGTAAGTTGTGGTCTACTTTGACAAATGTCTTCCTGAAATCCAAATATACTATGCCCACAGCATCTTGCTGATCCACTAGTTCAGTCACTTTGTCAAAAAATGAAATTCACAGCAGCATGTAACTAATTTCACATCTATTGAATTTCAGTCCCAGCAATCAAGGCTGGAGGCTAGCTGAGTGGATTAAAAAGGCCAGCACATTTTTCTTTCACAACCAGCTATTTTATGTAAAACATAAACAAATGGCATTCTAAATGTCTATGGAGCAGTGGTGAAATGTAAAATTTGTTATTATCTGTTCTGTGGGCGTGGCTTGGTGTGGGAGTAATGTGCCTCGGTGGGTGTAGCCAACTTTTTTTTTTTTTTTTTACTTTTAAAAGCATTTTTTCTACAACCTCTTCGGCTGAAGAAGTTGTAAAAAAATGCTTTTAAAAGGCTCTGACGATCAGGCAACTCAGCTGGGATCATCAGAGCCTTTTAAAAGCATTTTTTCTACAACCTCTTCGGCCAAAGAGGTTGTAGAAAAAATGCTTTTAAAAGCCTCTGATGAACCCAGCTGAGCTGCCCGATCATCAGAGGCTTTTTTTACTTTTAAAAGCATTTTTTCGGCTGAAGAAAAAATGTTTTTAAAAGTTTAAAAAAAAGGCTCTGATGATCGCGTGGCTCAGCTGGGCATGGGGGAGGCAGGGATTTTTGCGCTACCCGCCACCATCGCTACCAGATCGGGTGATCCGGTCCAAACCGGGAGCATTTCACCCCTGCTATGGAGGTTCTCAGTCATCCAGGTCGTGATTGTCCCAAAGGATGAGCTTCTTGGATGAGAAACGAAACGTCTTCAAGGAAAAAACAGAAAGTCCAGTTGCCTCTTGAAAAAAAAGCACCCTTGGGACAAATGGCATAGTACCTTAAAGAGACTGCAAATAAGAATTCTTGTGTTCTTAAATGCTTACTCTAAATGCATCTTCCAAAGATTTAGAACCATTTTACTTTTTATCTTTTCTGCTACTGATAAGGAAGTCAATAGTTCACCATTTTCAGATTATTTTACTGTTAAATTAAATCTCTAATTTATATAATTTATTTGACATCTGGCTCTTTTATATCCATTGCTTCCTTTCTCTCAGGAAAAAGATCAGAACTGCTCAAATAGAACAATAATGGCTTCTGATGGTTTTAGTTCAACTGGTTGTATTGTATCTCTTCTTCCTGTCCCATACCCTGAATCCAATAGATCAGTAAACATAATAAAAAATATAGATTTTTAAAAGAATTCTGACCCTTAATTAACTATTTATGGGAAATTAAAATAATACTAAGAAATACTACTGACATGTTAAGAATTCAACCTAATAGTTGATGTCCTCTTCAAGTTGAGCCCAGTTCCTGCTGACCAGT